AAATTTATTTTCCATAATTTCAATAATACATTGAAATTGTGGATTATTTCTATATTTGGCAAAACAATCACTAATTACCATTAATTGATACGGTAAATTACAACTAGTTGGATAATAAATTCCAGATAATTCATTTATTGCATCATAAAAATGTTTTAAAAAATCTCTTATACAGATTGTCATTTCTCAGTCTTCCTCAAATATCATATCAGATATACAACTTTCTAACATAGCATAGGTAGAATTCCACCTATTCTTTACATCTAATATAAAATGTTTATATTTTAAACCATAATTTTGGCATAAATATTTAAATTATTATTTTCTTGCTCCCGAACTTTTTATATATATAATACAATTTCTAATTTTTGAAATATGATTTGAAATAATATTCAAGGCATCTTGAATACATAAATTTAAGATGTGACATGCACATCTAATATGAAATAATTAACCATTTAAACATGGTTTTAATTGAGATTTTAAAATATTTATTGCAAAATCATTATTGCTAGCATTATCAAAACTAATAGAAAATACTTGCAGCAATAGTTGGACCACTATGTGGCCATTCAAGCCTAGTAAAACTTAAAATTCTTTTATTCAAAAGCCATTTTTCATCAATGAAATGGCCGGTAACACAAGTATAATTAATAATAAATTTGGATGTCCAAACATCCGAAGTAATTGCAACTTTAGAATTAAGATTTGCTAACAAAGAAATTAAATTTTGTTTATATGAATAAAAAATTTTCAAAGCATCAGTTCTTATTGTATTTCTAGAAACATTTTTATATTGTGGGTTTATAGAACTACACAACCATTTTTCTAGCTTTGGATCTTCAGTTAACATAAATGGTTATTCTGCATTTACAATATACTTAGCAAGTTCTTGTCTCATTTTTTCTTGTGAATATCTAAAAATACCAAAACTAGTCCCCCTCCCAATATGTGTTTGGGTTGTTTCTCTCCCTTCATTTTCCTCTCGCTCATGTGTGAGCAGATGTCTGCTCAAATGACCCGTACCACCCTTACTACAATAACTAAAGTCTTTCCTACATTTTTGGCAAATGGCTCTTTCCCCCTTTCCTTCAATATCCTCTACTTTGAAAACTTTCCAAACCGGGCTACTCAACTTAGAAGCCCTCCTTTTTCCCCTAGTATCACTACTACCGGGGGTGAAAGTTCCACTTCCATCAGCATCAGTGTTAATACTAATACTATCGTAATGCGATTGAATGTCATCCATGGTGAACATGTTGGGGAATCGGTTTTGAGAAGGGTCGACCATTTTTTTTAATTCTAAAAAGATAAAAATTAATCTACTTCGACTTACCCGGATTGTCGGTTCAAAATCCCAATTTGATTTCAATGGTTGAAGCCTTTCAACGTCCAAGCCTCCTGAATTGAGATACTTGAGCTGGTTGAGCAAGCCTTCTTCTTGTTGAAAGTCGAAACGTCGATAAAGTTGAGACTTGAGAATTGGAGAATGCAAAATCAAACAATCAGTTAATCAAAATTTCTCAGATTGTAGATAATTGATAATGTATGAGTATGAAAGAGAGAGAATTAAGAGAATTGTTGAATTTGTGTAATGAGAATGGTGGAGGATAGTGATATTTATAAGAATTGAACATAATTCAGTTGCCCAAAATACCCAAAAAAACTACCTGTTATTTAGTTGTTGGGAGGGGTATTTTGGTCATTGTGAATTTACTTATAACTTTACCCAAAATGCCCCATAAACTAGTTGTTATATAGTTGTTGGGGGCATTTATGTTATTTTTTCAATCCCCCATAAACAAAATACAGAAATATCCCCCTAATATGGCTGTTTATAGTTGTTGGGGGGTTATTTCTGTACCCCCCCCCCGAAAGCTGAAACTAGTCGTTGGGCCCCTTTGGGAGGGGGGGGGGGTCCAACGGTTATATTCCTGGGCAGGCCGAGCACGGTCCGTTACGGGCCCGACGAGCCATGCTTCATGCCGTGCCACGGGCTAGGCTATGCCAACATGTGGGCTATGGGCGACACGGCACGTGTTATCCTGTGCCAGCCCATGGGCCTCGAACCCCCAACCCAACATGGCACGGACCTCTGTGCCAAGCCACATGATTCCACCAAACCCAACTATTAATTAGATGGCCAAACAAAGTTTCAACATAAACATTAGGGTAAATTACAAAGACCCCCCTGTACTATGGGGTTTGTGACAAAGACCCCTACGCTTTGTTTTGCGACAAAGACCCCCGTGTTATGACCGTGAGATAAAGACCCCTCTTCCATTAATCCGCTGTTGCAATATTTTTTAATCCCAATACTACCTTTAAAAACGCTGTTCATCTTCCGTCGTCTCCTCTGTTCTGGTGGTCTCCCGACTCACCCTGCCGATCATATTAAAGAGCCAGATTGCATTGAGTCGGATCACCAACAGCAATAGGCCTCGAAGAAGATCGAGGCTCCAACGGCAGCAATTCCAGGTATAGTCGCTAGGCTAATGGGTCTTGAGTCATTACCGGAGTTGACTTGGGTTCCTCCAGGGAAGACCGCAGATTTGATTGGCCGAAATAGGTCAGTAAACTATGCAGGATACTGGCCAGAATTCGACCTATCACGGGGGCACCATTGACGGGTAATGATTTCTTTGTCGTTTCGCGAACCCCCGATGTTCTTACAGCTAGAGAATGAAGATTTCTTTTTTCTCAGCTTTCAGAAAATTTCTGAAAAAGCAAAATTTGCTAAGAAGAAGAAGAAGAGTGAATCCGCAACTACGCCTAGGAAAATAGAAACCCAATGTGACTCGGAAAATACCGGCCCGGTTTCTATTCTTGATCTCAGTGATGCTTTAGTCGATTCTGGAACTCCTTTATCAGGTTTGCCTCCTCAATTCAGTTTCCTTACAGAATTCGAAGTTCGTTTCTTATGTGAGGTTTTCAAATTCAATCATTTCCAATTGTCACATTCTCCCTTTGTTAAAATGTTTTATAAGACAAGAAGAATGAAAGCCAAGAGGTTCAAATTCAAGAAGAAGCCTCTCGACAGAGCTTGCAAAGTCCGACTGTGTATCTCCACCTGTGGCTTGTATTACGAGCTCAGATGATTGGGGATCAGGTTCATTTGAAGAGAAAACTAAGGAAACAAGGAAGAATGATGATCAGGGGTACTCGGAGTGGTGGGGAGTGATTAGCAATTTAGCTGAAAAAGAAATGAGGTCCTCCATTTGGGTTTCTAGGGAGATGTCAAAGTTGGAAGAAGTAGAAGAGATCGGGATTGAATTTAGCATACAAATTTTCGATCAACTTCTGTACGAGATTATATTCGAATTTTCTAGGCTTCTTTGAAGAATTCTGCCCTAAAATGATTTCAATAGACTGAACAATTGTGTATAAATTCTGCAAAGTCTCTTCTGCATATGTATTTTTCTTGCTCCACCGTTAAAAGAATGTGAGCTTAAATTCCCTGAGAATCCATGGCGCCCTGTAATAGTAGGGAAAAAAAATCCAGGTTGCAGACCTGGAGTATAAGCGTAAAGAGATTTGAAGAAATTTCTAATTACAACGAACGGATGTAGAATGTCACGTCTTTTTCTGGGCCACAGGAGAAAATGCGAAACATGGTAAAAATAAGGCTAATTTTCTATGCTAACCATGACTGAAAATTCTCCTCTATACTTGGGAAGAGACACTAAAGTATCGTGCTAGCAAGAGCTCAAAAAAACCGATCAAATTCCGCCTGCTTAGTGAAAAAATCTCGAGAATCTCAGCTCAACACTCACTGAATCCAGCTCAAAAATGTTAAAGAAACCGCCAAAGTCAATCGGCCGTAAACTTTACAGTTTTCACTCACTACTGGTAACCGCTGTTCGTAGGATAATCACTGAAAATTAGTAATTGCTTATCGGCAGAGCGGCCAAGAGGAACGGAAAACAGTATTTTTTAACGGTAGAACGGAAATTAAAAAATATTACAAAGACGAATTTCAATAGAAAGTTAAGAGAAGGGTCTTTGTGTCACGGTCACAGTATAAGGGGTCTTTATCGCAAAAGTAACAAAATACAGGGAGGACTTTATCACAGACCCCATAATACAGGGGTCCTTTATAGTTTACCCCAAACATTAATATAGATTCACGCGTGGCCAGATAAAACCCCTTTAACGTGACGATTCCAGACTTTTCCTTTTCTCTCTTTAAAGTGATCCGTTGATATATATATATATATATATATATATATATATTATATATATAGATAAAGAGTCGAGAGAGTCCGAATCTATTACCCACAAGCACAACACCAGCCTATATATCATGTAGATGTGCGGCTGTAATGTATTGTGGGCAGGTGCTGGTAACATCTTCTTGGGTACCATATCCGAGATGGATGGATAGAGTTTTGATAATCGCCTCAATTAGTGCACATGCATTTTACTACAACTGAGTGTTACAATAATTAAATCAACCAATAACTCGAAAACTACGACTAGAGATTCCAGACATTTTGAATTAGAAAGTAGAAAGCATGGGCATTAATTAGCTGATTAGGATAGGTTACCAATAGGGTGTGTAAATGCACCGATACCTAATCCATTATCACAATGTTGACAGCTTAGCCATATATATCCACAGGTTTAAACCGATGTGCCACCTCATTGCAAAGAATACCTTACATAAATAAATAAATTGATAAATATTAAAAATCAAAATATAGGAATCAGTCTCATCTTCATCAACCTGATAATTAGGTGAATAGGAGGAATCAGCTGAAAATTCTGTGTCAGACGTACGTTTAAATTGGAAATTATGGACCTTTGCCCAAGGCAAAGTTACCAATAGCTGAGCTGACTAACTAACACAATGTAAAGACGAGCTTAACCATATTATATGTATACTCACAAATTTTTATGAGGTAAATAAATAAATAATCATAACAGATGAATCGGTTTTATCTTTGACCTAACAATAACATATTTAAATCAACTGGTTGGGTCATTAGTTTTATCTTTGTCACATATGCTTTTCAATTGAAAATTATTGACCTTTGGGTGATTAAAGTAAAGTTAGTTATATAGGCTGCACATTGAACCTCTAACACAAGGTAGCACAGGGATTAAACTATATATACCCAAATGTGAACTCGGACTAGGATTGCAACTTGAGTCGAGTTAGCCTGAGCCCAATCCAAAAAATTCTGGTTGGGTTACATTGTTTGAAGTTTGGGTTAGTATTAAGATTATATTAAAAAGTGTGAACCTGACTTAATTTGTAGTTAGGTTAAGGTTGAGGTTTTGGCCAATTTAACCTTGAGATTCATATTTGCATGTATAAATATTATATAAACATTTGTTTATACATGTTAATATGGGTGTAATTGACCACTCTCTCAGAAGACGACACAGGGCATGCCTTAAGGGCATTCTTATCATCTCGGGCTTCATTAATTGCGAACGTTACGGTCTTGGTCAAGCTCTCCCCAACGTATTTATGACAAGGTAACGCTCGGCTGTGAATATCTTTTTTTTTTGAGAAAAAATTAATCAAATTTCATTGAAAGTACATGAGCAGATGTACCAGATGAGAAAACAGTAGAAAAGCAAAATTACAAGGGGGGGGGGGGGCAATTTAGCTAAACCATCTGCAATATGATTTATCTCCCTTGGGATCCACTTAAGATTAACATTCAAATGTTCCAAAGTGTCTCTTGCAACAGATGATGACTCAATCTCCTAAGCCCCCCTCCTTCTCTTTCAGCCATTCGATGGTATTGGCTGAATTTCCTACTATGGATAATTTATGAATGCCCAGGTTTTTTATTATTCTGATACCAGTGAGGGCTGCCATTACTTTAGCCTTTGTTGAGTCTGTAATACCTAGTGGACCACTAAACACCCAACAAATAAGACCCTGTTCATCCCTCAAGATTCCACCTATCCCAACTTTGCTCGGATTGCCTACAGAACTCCCATCAAAGTTTTAAGTCATCCTAGCTTCAAGTTGAGGAAGCTGAAGACTTTTGGTTGGATGAGGGTGATTTGGGAGAAGTAATATCGAATGGATATTTCTGTTAAGGTCATTAAGGGATAGGTCTTCAAACATCTCAGTGTTAATGGCCCAAGAGTTACAAACAGATAAAAATATCTACAATTAGATCCTCTAGAGGTTTAGATCTGTTTTCAAAATACGCCTGTTTCTTTCCTCCCAAATTCCCCACATGACTGCATGAACCACGGTTTGCCAATACACTTTGCCTCTTCTGCTCAAACCTGATCCATACCACTGGTTGAGGAACTCCTAAGTGTGAGGTCCAGATTTGGGTATCAGAGGCCTAAGGGGAGAGATAGACTTCTTTTAGGGTAAGGAAGAGGTTTAAAAGGTCTAAGATCTCAATTTCCTTTAAAGGTCTTCTCAGGTTTAGAGTCAAATTGGCGTCAGCAGGTAAGGCTAGAATGCAGGAGGAGACAATTGAGTCCTGATTTGAGGAGAGATTAAAGATTCTAGGGAAGGCTTCAACTAGGGTAGAATCCCCCGACTAGAGATATTTCTAGAATTTTATTTTATTTCCATTTCCCACTTTGAGTCTAATGAAAGAATGAAGGATGAGTGAGAGGAAATTATACCTTTCCCACCTATTTGCATTTGTTCTAAACTTGCTAGAGATAACAGTTGCCCAAAGAGTATCGGATTCAGTGGGGAATCTCCATAGCCGTTTACTCAATAGAGAGATATTCTTCTCTTTTAAATGTCCAACTCCCAATCCTCCCTCCTCCTTCAGCTTACACACTTGGTCCCAACTTACCAACTTATTACTTTTCAGCCACTGCACTCTAGATCTCCACCTCCAGTAGATTTCCTCTTTCCGGATTAAGACTTCCCAAGATTTCCTCAGATCTTCTCTTCTTCTTCTACCTAAATTATCTAATGTGCCTTTTTGCTCCTTAGTATCCAATTCATCTAATTCCGAAAGTAACTTCCTTTTGTCTTCTTCTCCAACCTTGAACTGTTCTTTTCCCCAGGATTTCAATTTTCTCTTCATGAATTTAAGTTTCTGTGCCAATCTAAAACCAACCCAACGTTCGACTTCGCACTCCTCTCACCATCCAACTACCAGCTCCTTGAAGTCCTTATAACATATCCACCATTTTTCAAGTCTGAAAGGGGGGTTTCCTTTTAGGATTGGATCTGTAGTCAATTTAATGGGCCAGTGGTCTGAAATACAGCGATGACAAAGATCTTGAGAAAGGTTGGGCCAGTGGTCTGCAACTAATAGTGTTTTCCTGCACATTAGACTAGGTAAAAAGACCATTCTTGAGAGGAATGTCACATAACTTGTGTCTGGAAATAAAGATGGAGAAGTTGGGACTATATACCCAACTAATAGTGTTTCTCATGTAAGGAGTCTAACTCCTCCCAGAATCTTTCTCTCTTTGACGAATTGTTGGGACTATATACCCTGTTAGAATCCAATTTAGCCCGTCTTTTGTATTGGTGAACAAGATTGAGGCCAAGAATTCTCCCCTGTCAATTTCCAGTCTAGATAATTCATCTTTCTTCCAAGATATAATAATTCCACCTGATGCTCCTATTGCAGGAACGCCTACCCATTTCCTTCCCCTTATGCCCCATATAGCTTTTATAAGTTTCATGTCTACTACCTCTTTCTTCTACTCCTAAAGGATGACAATGTCTGGATTTTCTCTTTTAAGAGTTTCCTTCACTAGAGCCCTTTTGATTTGGCCTCCCAATCCCCTAACTTTCCAACTTAGGACTTTCATCATTGTTTTTTTAAGGAAGTCCCCTTATTCAATCTATTAACTCTTGCAGTCTGGTCCCTTAGGCTCCATTGCAGTCTTTTCAGTTCTCTTTTGGAGCTCTTTTTTTCTCTCTTTTGTTGTGCTCCTTTACCTTTGAGGTTAAAATTCTCCTCTAAACCCTATTTATCTCTGACTTCCCCTCTTCTTCCAATCCCCAAAGACCTAAAGAGATTCACTGATGTTGTATCCTCTGAAACCTTCCTTCCCGAGCTATTTGATTCAGATGTTTGACAATCTGCTTCTTGCTGAGAGTGGAACAAATCTCCATCTGAACCTAAAAGACAAGGGACTGATATAAAATGAGAAGAGCCTTCAGATAAAACAAAACTTAGGGTTTGTTGGAACTTGTGGTAGAGGGGGCAAAGGAAGTCCTTGAATAATTTTGGTTGGAATGGCACGAATTGGAAAGGCATGGTGGTGATCCTCTTCCTTGTCTATGATTAAGACTATCCGCATCTGAGGCTTTTCCATAATCCAGGTTAACTAATTGAACTTGTTTGAGAATCTCCACACCTCCCCATATCTCCTTCCCTTCAAATAATTTCTGAGCCCTTTGAAAGGCTTTCTCTTGAGGATCATCTTCACTATCTGATTCGTATGTACTGTCTTCAACAATCGAATCAGCTTCTTCATAGCCGGAGGATTCATCAAGGTTGGTTGAAGGTGTTGGAGCTCTGTGCACGGTTCCTTTAA